ATTCCAAGTGATGTTTTCATCAAGGTAAACACCTAAAAATTTTGTTTCGGAATCCCTTTTTATTTCATTTTGATCAATAAAAATTTTAGGTAAGTTTAATGGGAAATATCGTTTTTTGGAAAGCGAATGGAATAAGGTCCACTTTGTTTTAGAATTTAGAGTTAACTTATTACATTTAAACCAACTCGATACATGTATAAGCTCTTTGTTCATTGTTTTAAAAAGTTCAAAGATATCACTGTTAGAAAGAAATAAGTTAGTATCATCTGCAAACATAATACTTGTTAGTTTAGAGGCTTTATTTAAATCATTAATATAAATTAGGAAAAGGAGTGGACCAAGAATTGAGCCTTGTGGGACTCCACATGTTATAGAAAGACAATTGGTGTGATAACCGTCATTACTCGAAACAAATTGTTTACGATTTGACAAATAGCTTTCAAACCATTTTAAAACTTTATTTTTAATTCCATAGTGTTTAAGTTTATGGATTAGAATTTGGTGGTCAACCGTATCAAAAGCTTTTGATAGATCAATAAAAAGTCCTAGAGTATATTGTGATTTTTCAAATGATTTTGAGATTTCCCGTACAAATTGGATAATTGTACTGGATACTGGAGATGACAAAATAAAAATTAATTAAGCACGGAGTACTTTTAATTTTTAAAATTCTTCTATATAACAAACTTTTCTACAGCTTTTTGCAATGAAATCCATGCTTTTATATTTAAACTTATTAAGTTATTAATTTATTAATAACTTATTAATTATTAGCTTTATTTTTTTTGGTACAGTTAAATTTTTTCTCTATTTTTTCATTTATACTTTGCTATAAGACACATAGCTTTATCCTTTTTGAGAACTTCTTTCCTTTAACCATATTTGTTTTTTATCATTGGTTTTTGAACAATCAAGTAATTCTTTTCTTACTTCATCAGTTTTACTATTTAGTCATTCTTATGTTTGATTCTGAGACAATTTGTCAAAGCCTAGAAAGTTTTAATACTTGCATTTAGTTTAATGCATACCATTAAATTACAATGCGAACTTGCTATTTTTGCAATGCTTCTTTAACTTTCTGATGTTATCAACTAGTTGAGTTATCTTTATGGCTAATGATTTTTTACTGCAAAGCAGTTGAACATTACACAAAACAGAATATACAACATTGTATGAGGTATATTTTCAATGTTAAATACCAATAATAAATTTCTTTATTAAGCATTTTATCTAAATAAATATACAATTTTCCATAAGTCAAGCCAAATAAATATATAAATTTAAAACAGTTAATTACATTAACTGTTTTAAACTTATAAATTTTAAACAGTTAATGTAAATTATGTAATACAATTACATTCTAATTTTCAAAACTACAACAACAACTACAACAACAAAACAACAACAAAACAAAACAAAATAACAGTTTAGTTGTTTATATATCAAAACAATAGAATAGTAATTCTTTCGATAAAAAGCAATATGTATTAGGGACTTTTATAGATTTATCCAAAGCGTTCGACACAGTTAATCACAATATCTTATTTAAAAAAATGAAAAGATATGGTGTTAAAAATATATCTCTTGACTGGTTCAAAAGTTACCTGTGTAGCAGAAAACAATGCGTTGTTACAGATCATAATAAATATTCAGACCTACTAGAAATAAAATGCGGAGTTCCCCAAGGTTCCATTCTGGGTCCCCTTTTATTTCTAATATATATCAACGATCTTCCAAAAATCTTAAAAAAACTTGATGTAATAATGTTCGCTGATGATACAAATTTATTTTACTCATCGCCGTCTATAAGCGACCTTTACGAATCTTTGAACACTGACCTCGAAAACCTCAACATCTGGTTTAAAGTAAATAAATTATCTTCGAATACAGAAAAAACAAAATATATCTTGTTTCACTCCAACCGTCTTAAAAACTTTATACCAGGCACTCTACCTTCACTAAAAATTGATAACATAAACATCAAAAGAACTGAAATAACTAAGTTTCTTGGAATAATTATTGACCAGAATATTAATTGGAAAGCCCATATTAATACAATAAACACAAAAATATCAAAAAGTATCGGCGTACTTTACTAAGCCAAACTTATGCTTTCCCAAGATAACTTAAAAATTCTCTTCTTTTCTTATATTCAAAGTTACCTAACATACGCTAATATTGCATGGGGAAGTACCCATAAAACTAAATTAAATTCACTCTGCATACATCAGAAACATGCATCAAGATTAATTTATAATAAAGATAAATTCACTCATGCCGACTTTTTACTTAAAAATTTGAATGCATTAAATATCTATCAAATAAATATTTACCAAAGTATCTTATTCATGCTAAAATACAAACTCGGACTTGTTCCGGAATACTTTACTGATAGCTTTTTTCATATCAACGCAAACAAATATATGACACGAGGAACAGGCAACTTCATCTTGCCTTAAAAAAAACAAAATTCTTGCGATTTTTTTTTTTATACCGTGGCCCATACTTACATAACAAAATAATACTTCAAAATATGGAACTTAATAAAATGGATAACCTTATTGCTCTGAAAAAAAAACTAAAACATATCATAATTAACTTAACCCACTTCATCGAAATGTAATAAACAATTTGGAAAAAATAGTAATAATAAAAAGCCCAACTACTTCTACTATACAGTAGATACCAAAATACTTATGTGTATTTGTTGAACTAGTTCATTAAAGTTTATTTTATGTTTTAAAGGTTCTCGATGAAAAGACTATTTTAGTCTTCTGCGAGTTTCCTTACAACAAAGAAAAATATTTTTTTAAGAATAATTTTATATATATATATATATTAAACAACGTTCACAAGCAAGTCCCTAGTAGCCCTGTGGTACGACGGACTTGCATATATTTTTTAAATGCATGGGTTAATAGCCAGCATCTAATATTATAGTTGTTACCTTATTTTGTACACTGTACAACGCGCATGCGCTAAACAGAATTTTGAATTTCTTTTGTCTTGTAAAAATTTTAATGGTACAAAAATTGTTTAATTTTACATTTTGTACTTATATGTAAAAATATGTAATTTTGTTTTATTGAAATATATACGGATACTTCTGTTGTAAAAAAAAAAAAAAAAAAAAAAAAGAAAAGAATACTTTTTAAATAACATACACAAATTTGTGTATGTTATTTAAAAAATAACTTAAGTTATATATGCAATTTACCGTATTACAATATGATAAAACTTACTGACAAATTTTCTGATGATTTTATTGAATTTAAAATGAAAGTATTTACTTTTGTACACAATTTGTACATTTACATTTGTACACAAATGAGTGTCTTTCATTGAAAGACACTCATTTGTGTACACATCATCATCATCATCATCATCATCATCATCATCATCATCATCATCATCATCATCATCATCATCACTTATTACTTTTCAGTAAATCTACTTTAAAACTAACAAAAAATTATTTCAGTAATCTTTTTAATATATAGTTAATAAAAAAACCTATACAACAATTAAAGCTAGATATATCACCCTAATTATTCTATATCTACATTTTTATACAAGTAAAGACCATCTACGTGCACATTTTTTTTCCACATAAAAAAACAGTCTAACGCATATATCTTTGAGTGCGCTTACTGTTAGTAAAACAGAGGCAATTTTACAAATCACCAGTTGAAAAACAAAAAACCAACCCTAATTAACCATAAGAAAAAAAAATTAAAAATACATATTATTAATAAATAGTTGCAGAACCTATATTCATGTGAAGACGGATAAATTATCTAATTTAACTGGTATTTTAACAAAGTTAAGTCATTTAAAAGTAAATAACTTTTTAATTTCAAAAGAAGAATGTCGTCTTCACTTAAATAAATGTTCTACATTCTTTTCTGAAAAAAATGACACTAAAACATGTATTTAAATTTGTAGTTTTTATGGGTGGGTTTTTATTTTTCGACACCTACCTAAAATCGTTTCATGCATTTTTTTTGGACGAAATTTTTCAAAAACAAACTACGTGTTTTTTTCCGCAATAAAAAGTCACGTGAGAAAACTCCTTATATATATAAATATATTTCGACGTTAGAATTATCTTATTCTATCTCCACTTTTTGAAAAAATTGAGTTATTGATAGTGTTGCGTACCTAAGAATATTGTTTTTCTACTGTATTGAAACCTATAAGTTATAAGTAAAAATGTTGCAGTGAAAACATAATTTATAAAAAAGTTTTATGTCTTCTCCAAAAGTTTTTCTTTTTTAAATTGTTATATCTTAAAACTCAAAAATGTGGAGATAGAACAAAATAATTCTAACGTCGTGATATATATATATATATATATATATATATATATATATATATATATATATTTATATGTATTTATACACACATAGAGCCGTGGCTACCTAGCAAATATTCTATAACAGAAATTCAGTAGACTTATATACACATTTAGTGCGGACCACTGTAGTTTTGTTTTTAGTAAACCACTGTAGTTTTGTATTTAATAAACCATTAGTAACAGCCGCCAAAAAGGGTTAGGTTTTGACTAGCCACTATTAATATACCGAGAATTTGTCGGCTTGCCATTTATAGCGGCTATTTTTAACTGTGATATATAAATATATATCTATTATATGCGACAAATATGTTAATATAAGTATTTTTATATATCAGGGCCAACGACACCAGGGGCCATTCCTTTCCCCCCCCCCCAACTTTTTTTCCCTAAAGGACCATTTAAAAAAAAAAAGAAAGTTCTACATATAAAGGACTTTTTTTTAAAATTAACGATTGTACCCCCCATTTCCAAACCCGTGTCGTCGGCTATGGCAATTAACTTTAACAAAAAAACAACAGCACAAACATAAATGACGTAACTGTAATGCTAGCTAGTCAACAACGAATTATAAATTATTTTTAGTATATACTATAACTTAGATAATTAAAATGATAAAACTATATACATAATCAAAAAAAAATTGTTAAATATTAATAATTTGGTTTTGACAATAAATTAATGATGATATTTATTTAAATATTTCTTTGGATTCTGAAGGTTTTAATAGATTGGATTCCACAATCTCTGTGCGTTGCCCTTCGTCGATATTTATTTTATTGACAGCTGCAGGACTTTGTTCACTTGAAAGATATAACGGTTTTTTTGAGAAATCATGCTCAACAAATGCGCCAAGCCCTCGATGAGAAACGATGCCACGTTGTTCAACCTAATGCAAAAAATATAAAAACATATATATTAAGGTTATAACATTTTTGCTACTATATGTTTTTGTAGTTTGATGAACTTTTACTTCTTCTCCTAATCGTAGTTAAGTCAATATATTAATCATAGTTAAAAATGGAATAAAGCACTATGTTATTCATTTTGAAAGAAAAAAATATACAAATACAAACACATATACAAACACATATATAAAAACTAGGTGAACTAGACAATTCGCAGCTAAATAAAAACTTTCAATGCAAAGAATCTGAACAACTTTGGGTTGAAATAAAACTACCATTAGAAAAATTTCTATTAGTTTGTATTTATCGCCCTGAAAGAAACTTGCTAACTGCTTCAGTACAATTAAATGAAATAATTTGTTCTCTTGGTTACGCTAGATACTTAGTTGATACAAAAGTATGAAATGGCTTAATTGTGACAGGTGACTTCAACTTTCTAGGCATAATTTGGCAATCTGACTTAAAAAGAGGGTGAAGAAAAACAGCAAACAAGCATTACGTGTCTATAAAAGATAATACGTGATAATAAAAACAAACATTCTCAACAGCCAATTTCAATCAGTTTTTACAAAGAAATCACTGACTCCTGCCATTTATAGTATTTGTAAAAAAGTGCCCATTATAGTATTTGTAAAAAAGAGAAAGAGAAGCAACATTACGACGATATGATAATGGTTGGAGGTTGGCGTAAAAGCAGGTCCAACTATATTTACAATGCGTTTTTGCACTTTGTCTAAAAGAGAAAGGGCATCATTAGAGATTTGCCCCAAATATGGCAACAGTATTCCATGCAAGGTCTGATTTGAGATTTATAGATATAGAGAATAGAATAATCCGGAGTAAGAAAGAGTCGAGCTTGATAAAGAGATGCAACTTTAGCAGATGCCAATTTTGCAAAGGATTTTATATATAAAGTTTCCAAGAAAGATCTTAAGTAAGAGTTAATCTCAAGTAAATGAGTCATCGAGTAAATTAAAGTTCATAAATATAGGAGAATATAAATTATTGCAATAACAATTGGCTGAAAAAAATTGAGTTTTGTCTGAATTAAATTTCATCAGCCACTGTGAGCCCCATGCGGTAGCAGAAGTGAGATCCCTTTCAAGCTCTAATGCCCCCTCTGAGCAAACAGAGAGTGTTGACTTCTTATCATGACAACAATAAATGGTGGTTTCATCAGCAAACAATCCCACCTTAGATGTGAGAATATCTGGAAGATTATCAATGTTATATAAAAAAAAAGAATATAGGGCCAAGGATTGAACCTTGAGGAACCCCTGAAGTTACAGAATAAGAAGAAGAGTGCTGTCCATCGAGGACAATTTTTATACTACGATTGGATAGGAACGATTCAATAATCTTAGATGATACCAGATGTTACCAGATACACAGTAAGAAGAAAGTTTATGGAGAAGACCAGCATGCTACGCTTAATCAAATGCTTTAGAAATGTCAAGAGCGATATTCTTAACCTCTCCACCATTATCTAATGTACAATAAAACCTATCAGTTATTACAGGTAGCAAATCAGCTGTAGAACGAGAAGGTCGAAATCCATATTAATGATCAGAAAGTAAGTTATTAAATTCAAGATGAGAGATTAAGTATTTGTTAATTAAAGATTCAAAAACAATGCTTATGATAGGAAGAAGACTAATAGGACTGTAGTTAGGCAAATCAGATTGCTCTCCAAAACTTTTGAAAATAGGGATAACAGATGCCGCTTTTCAGCAGGTTGGAAAACAAGACTCTGATAAGCACTTGTTGAATAGTTTTGAAAGTATAGACAACAGCTCCGGAAAACACTTCTGCAAGACTGTAATAAATATGTAGTCCGGGCCACAAGCTGCAGAAGAGTCTAAGCAAGCAATCACTTTAGACACAGAAGCTGGAGTGATACGAATGTCAAACAATGGATCAACCTGTTTGACGGCTTTGTCAGGTAGAACGCAACTAGTGGAATCAAGAGATGATATTGATGAAATATACTAGAGTTTTCCATACAAGCTTGGAACTCTTTCCTTAATAGTAACATAAAAAAATTGAAAAGGTACAATACAACTCCACAAAAGTTGCTCAGGCTTTAAAAAATAAAGACTACAAAACTCAATGTAAAATCATGAAATTAACCACTCTTGAAGACAGGTGGAAAAGAGGCGATTTTATTCAACAATATAAGCTTCTCAACAATTTAAAGCTAATTGATTGGCACGTAAAGCCTTGCAGCATAGCACCTAGAGCTCAACACCTAATCAGATTTCATTTTAAAGTCAGAAACTGAAGTCAGACATTTAACTACCGTTTCAATTCAAGTCAGATTTTTAACTACCGTTTAGTATGGAATGCTTTGCCAGATAATGTCATCAAGGCAACATCAGTTTTTAAATTTAAACAACTACTGGAAAGTTTTCAGTCATCGTAACTACTAAAGCTCATCATCTAACATAAACGCCACACAAAAATGGCCGACATACAAGTTGGGTATAGATGCATGTACTCAGCTGATGATTAGTTTAACAAGGCTTTTTGTCACTAACTTAACTAATTATAACAAGAAATGCATATAGAACATAAATAGTCCAAAAAATAAAGTTAACACAAAATTCAGTGAGGCACGGGACATAAAAGAGATGTCTTTTAAACATTTTTTGAACGTTCAAAAGAAGTCTATTTTAAGTCCCGTGCCTACTGGGAACAAGCTTTTGTTTTTTAAAATATTCAAACACATCCTACACTTGCAAGAAGTTATTTTGTTAACAATCAAACATAATTTTAGTAATTTGTAATCAATTAATTTAAAAAAAGCAAGTTAAAACTCATCCGACTCTTTATTTTTTGATGATTGATGTGTTTAATTCAATTAAAATCTTGTTTTTTTATGAAGGTTAATTTAGCATTTAAACAGATTGTATATTTATATAGATTTTGGTTTTTTCAACATCTTCACAGCCACAGAAAAATGATGAAACTTAATTGAATGACAAATAACACCAGCATGAATTTTAGCAGATGACACACAAGAGGCTAGCTCTTTAGAGCAGTGCCCATTATAGTATTTGTAGGAAAGAGAAAGAGAAGCAACATTACAATGATGTGATAATGATTGGAGGTTGCCAACTATGCTTACAATGCTTTTTTGCATCTTGTCTAAAAGAGAAAGGGCATCATTGGAAGATCCACCCCAGATAAAGCAACAGTATTCCATAAAACAACAGATTTGAGATTTATAGAGATAAAGAATAGATCTTGATTAAGAAAGATAATCCTGAGTAAGAAAGTGGGACGATAAAAAGATGCAACCTTAGCAGATATTTTGCAACCAATTTACCATGTTGCAAAATTAGCAAAGGAATATTATTAGAGTCTTGTTTTCCAGCAGGCTGGAAAACATGATAAGTACTTGTTAAATAGTTATAGAAGTAAGGACGACAGTTCCAAAAATCTGCAAGACTATAACAGGTATGTTGTCTGAACCACAAGCTGTAAAAGAGTATAAGCAGGAAATCACTTTAGACACTTTGACGTTAAAGAAAACCTTTTTACAATGGTTTCTAGCAATAGTAAACAGCCGTCTGTTTTTTGGACAATTGTTTTGCTGATAGAAATGGTTACAATTGGAAATTGTAGCAGCACAATGAGAGGAAAACCATTGAAATCGTCAAGTGGGAATGAAAGATTCTATGCCAGCCTGAATCTATGAAATTACATAAAAAGCTTAAACAGGAAGAGGGAAGATTTATACCTAAATGCCATCACATAGAAAATCATGGAAAGAATTCCAGTTAGTTTTAGGGTTGTTGTAAAAGGTACAAAGATAGGGGATTCTGATAATGAAGAAGAATGAGATAATAATTTTAGGGAAACCAAACCGTGATCAGAAGCGTCAAATGGTGAATGCGGAGAAACTGAGCACTAAGATCAGAAACAAGACACATATAGAGTGGAGAAGGTAAATGATTTGGATTGTCTGGAAAGCGAGTTTGAAAGTTGATTATTTGTGTTAGAGATTGAGAAAATCAAAGTTGTGGGCCTTAACGCCTGCAGAGTCACTGACACTAGAGCCAAGCCAATCAGTGTGATGAGCATTATTTTCACCAACAACAACAATATTGGCTGATGAATAAAGAGAAAGAGCTTGGTCAATTTGGTCAAAAATAATATCAAAAAGAGTGCAGTCTTGAGATGAAGGAGAGCGATATAGAACAAAGAAAAAGGCAATAGAGTGAAGTGGTGCTAAACAAAAGCACATAAAAGAATAGTCTGTGGATTCAAACCTAGTTTCCCGACAAATGGGCAATTTCTTATGAATGTAAGAGAATTAGAGTTTTTAGGAATTAAAGGTATGTAGTAATGAGCTAATGGATAACATATTTTCTATTTTTAATTGGTGCAATGACTGGAGTATGCAACTAAATATAGAAAAATGTAAAATGCATGTCAATAAAAGTAATAAATTAAATAAAAATATCAATAAATATTACATTTCTGATTATCAATTGAGTACTGTGGATTGTGTAAATGATCTTGGTATCATGTTTAAAAGCAATCTAAAAAATGGTTATCATATATCTGTGTGTGTTTCTAAAGCAAATAGAATTTCAGGCCTTATCCAACACACATTCTCATTTTTAAATGCTAATATACTTCAGAGCTCGAATTAAGCGTATCGCGATCGCAAATCGCTTTTTATTCCTTTGCGATTAGTTTTTTTTTAAAACATATATTTTTGCGATTGGTTTACTTTTTTAGTTGTTTATTTACTTTTTTTCTAATTTAGTTTTTTCTTTTGGCAATTCTTAAAAAGTTATGTTTTCATAGTAAAGTACATCACACAAAGTTTGTCTTTTGAATAGAAGCATGATCATTTGCTCTTTTGCACAGAGATTTTTATTCATTTTTTAATTTAAATGACTTTAAATCTCTGCTTAGTAGCAAATTAAAAAGACAAAAGTTAAACAATTTTTTCTTCATTCTATTTTTT